GTGTTGGGTTGACGGTTGGACTCGATGATCTTAGAGGTCTTTTCCAACCTTAATGATTCTATGATTGTTTGGAGAGAAGTTAAAAGCTAGTGTTTTAAATGTTTAAATATAATTTCATTGAAAATGCTAAAACAGTTTATCAAGATAAGATTTTAATAGTAGCTGGTCTAATAAATGATACATCAACTACAGTATGCAGATGGTGAATAAAATTGTCAAAGTTCCCAAAGAGATTAGGTGGGTAACTTCTGTTAAAATTGGTGAAACTCAAAATCGCTGGGTTATCAGTAACCCAAATTAGGCAAACTGTTGTAGTTGTTACATGTTAGGATTTTGAAGAGCATTTAAGTTAGCATCTGTACCCTAATACTCAGAAAAATCTGATCCCGGATATTTCAGGCTTTCAAAATTAGTTTCTTTTATTAATAGATCGGACAGATGAAAGTGAAGAATCTACTTCCTCAGCTGCAACATACACTCTCAGTGTATGAGAGTGTATGTTGCAGTTGAGGAACAGAGGTGGTTCTAATGAACCATATTGCCTCTGTTTACTAAAATGTGAAGCTCAGTGCAAAATTGAAGTGGAAACTTTGTACAACAAACCATTTTCTAGGCATGAGTATATGAAAATGCCTTTGCAGTGGGTCAGAAGTTGTCAAGATACATAGCTGATGTTAACCTATATATAAGGGGTGAATGAACCTGTATGTAATTACAGTTTCAATAAATCCCTACTCACTGTGTTTTCCCATGACTGCTTTTGAATCTGAGTCAATGTTTCCACAGTCCTGCCTCTTCCCCAGTCTTTTCTGGCTTGCATCTTCCTTCTTTACACTTGCATTGAGCCATCAGTATTTTGGCTAAGCCATTTTATATGTGTGTATATACACACACAGACACACGCAAATATGTGTACACACACACATATACATATTTTTAAAAAAAATAAAGAGTTTAGCTCTCCTAAGCTTCTAGTAAGCTGGATCAATGAATGCCATGAGTGGTATATGAGAGCGACTGGGATTGCACAGGGGAAAGATGGTGCCACAGTAATGCCGTCTAAATTTGGTTTAAACTGTTTTGGGAATGTGTGTCTTGTAATGATGTTAAAACTGAAGATGTGGCTTGTCCCTCTTCCAGAAGCTTTTTAACATCAGAATTGGTGACATGTTTTTATATAATTTTGGAGTCTGTAAGCCAAAGCTCCAAATCAATTGTGAGAAATCTGTAAATGTTCAGAATTCTGATACAACGTTGACTGGAACATTGAGAACAAAGTTAATTATTTATTATGCTTGTACTTCTGATGATATGATTACCATTATTACATGCTTTATGGAATCACATGAACCACATGTAAAGTAAACATTTAGAAGAACTGAAGTTGAGGATCATACTTACAATTTCTTCCTATGCCTTGAGCATAAGGCCAAATGTTAGACGGAGGCTTACTGAATAGCGAGGGTTGTCAGCTTCATTAGGGCAAGGCTGCTTCATGAGGACTATGTGTCAAGAGTTTTAACGTTCACATGCAGTTACTAGAAGTAGTGAGTGGTTTCCTTTAGGTAGACTATCATATGTTTGTCTGCCTCAGGTTTTCTTCTGTGTCTTTCTGGACCATCTGACTTATCAGAGTAAGAGTACTGGAGTAAATGAATAGTGTCTGTGACCAAGCATAGCTTTCCCTAGGTTTACTCATGGTATTTTGTCTAAAAATTCAAACAATCCTTCAAATCATGTTTGATAAAAGATGGCTTGTATAAAAGCCAATGGAAGAAGAAGCTTTTCATTGATTTCAGTGATGCATCATGACGGTTCTCCTAGCACCTGTTGCACTATGCTAAGCGGACTAACCATTCAACCTCGGTTCTAGCTTCCAGCCTGCAAGTGGTACTCTGGATACCCTCGCTCCTTCCCCTCTTGCCCCCATGTACTTGTAAGGGTAAGAATGTACTGTCATCTAAAATAAATTCCTTGTCAAGTAAGATGCTAAGAGAAGGAATCTTCAGGCAAATTTCAGAAAGGCATGTAACTGCAACAAAAAATCTTGAACTGGTGGAGGTACTGTGGAAAACCAGTGACTTTGTGCAATCAGCTGGTCTCTGAATTAAAAGTTGAAGTGAATTAGTACTGCTCCCAGCCACTTTGTAATACTCTTTGCCAATACATATGGGCATCATTTAAATGCTTTGAATGGAAAGTTCAAAATCTTGTGGCCTAGGAACTTATTTAAAGAAATCTGACTCAATGGTCAGAACTTTCAGAAAATACCTCAGTTGCAGAATCAACCAGGCTGGCCTTGTATCCCAGGAAATATGAAAATCAGAGGGGGGGAAAAAAGTGAAAGTTTACATCAACACATTAGAAAGTAACCAGTCATCATGGCCCTAAAATGTTTTTGTTAGGGTGCATGTAGCTTTAGTATGTACCTTGCATGGGGAAAAGCTTGTTTATGGCACTTACTCATTGACTTTTAGACTTTTACAGATATAATATTGATTAAAAAGCATAATGACCTTTGAATATTCGGCAAAGTAAACCAGTTCAGTTTTGGGAATCATGTAGAAGTTTACAGTCAGTCTGGCTGTTGGTGGTGGATAGTATGTTAACAGTTGTTAACATAGAGTACCAAACTTTTTTTTTGTCTACTGCTGAAACAGATTTTGAGATTTTTAGCTTTGTTTTTACTTTCAGGAAACTCGGAGCTCAAGCTTTGCTTTCTTGTTGCACTTGTTTTACTAAAACAGTTAGTATGTTAACAGTTGTTAACATAGAGTACCAAACTTTTTTTTTGTCTACTGCTGAAACAGATTTTGAGATTTTTAGCTTTGTTTTTACTTTCAGGAAACTCGGAGCTCAAGCTTTGCTTTCTTGTTGCATTTGTTTTACTAATACAGTTTAGTTCAGATTGGGAGATACGGCACACAGGAATTTCAAAAGATCTAGATATAGGGAGGAAATTACTTTCTACTATATAAATACTTTGTACAATATAAATGATTTTTCCTTTGTATTTTATTTGAAATGGAATAATCTGGTAATCTGAATGTCTCATGAGAACTGATTCCAGGTAGAAATTGCACGTGTGATTCTCTGTTTTCCTACCTGTTCAGGGAGAATAGAGTACAATATGAGATTAAAGAGAAGCTTGAGCCTTAACATCAGGGCAAAACTACCTTGTAATTTGTACAGCAGAGAAGTATATCCTAGATGGCATCATTCTTTGAAAAAAACACATCTATGTTTTTGCATATTAAAAAAAAATAATGTGGCCTGTCTAGTGATTTTTTTTCAATGTTTAATTCTGGTTTGTCTTTTAAATGAAAGTAACTGATTGTGAATCACTTGATGAAAATTAGGTATGATAATAAGTTGTACAGTAAGTAATATTTTCTTTTGAGACCTGGGTTCAAATGTAACTTTTATCACAAGTGAAAGTGAGTCTTATAATCTAGTTTCCTTTGTAGCTAAGTCATTTAACTTGGTATTGCTGTTGTCTGAAGAATGCCAAGTTAAAAATATATTAGATGACGTTGTTTGAAGTGAATGTGTCCAGTTCCAGTCATACTGTACCTGACTTCTCCTGTTCCCTCATTTTTGTAACTACTAAAATTTTCACTCTCTAAAATGAGACTTTAACTGCAGTGTTGGTTGTTCCTAGAAATAATGGTTTTAGATAGGCTTTTATGTATTTAGTTATTTAGTAAAAAACTTAAAAGGTTCCTTTGTTTTATTAGGAGTCCACATCTCCAGTTGTTTCACCACAGCAATCCCCACCAACCTCTCCACATACATGGAGGAAGCACAACCGCCATCCCAGCGGAGGGAATAATGAACGACCTCTTGCTGGACCTGGGCCTTTTTGGGCTCCATTTAGTGAAGCACAACCAGGTATAAATGTCTTCTGTTATGCTTCAGCTGTAACCCAAAGTTGTGGAATTCTTAAATAAGTATATTAAATGAGTTTAGGGCAGTTTATCTTTGTATTTTCCAATCCTGGAAACTTTCTTGCAGTTTCAAATGTTCATGTGTATGGCAGCACTGTGGAATCTGTGGTCTTGCATATGGCGGATCCATTTCTTAGTGTGGTATGGGAAATGCTCAGAGTTTGGAGGGAGGGAAAGAGAGTACAGAAGTTTCCCAGTGGAAGGTTTTCTAATACAAAACTGACATCCTGTTGAAATTGTGCAGGAACTGTCAGTATACCCAAAAACAAGGGGAGCTGAAGGGAAAACAGCAGATGATGTGTTGGTTGTTTGAATTATGTTTCTGGTAGATTAGATGAATTGACAGAACAACTAATTCTCTTAACATTTTTTTTGCTTTCTTTAAAGTTTATGTAAATGTAACTGAAGCTACTGTATCTCCAGTCTGTCAAGGTAGAACCACTTGTTTCAGTCACCTTTTCATCCTTTATTGTTCTTCATTTAACATGAAGACCCTCCCTGTTGTTGTATCGCTGTGTTCAGATTTAAAAAGCTTTTCCCCTTAATATCTCATATTTCAAAAAGTTCTGTTTTCTGATATCTGATAGACTTAATAAATTTGGGAACAGTGGAGCAATTCTAGTTCAGGTTCTGTTTTTGATGATACTGCTGAATAATATGTTGTATTTTGTAGGCTGTAGTTTCAGATTGAACTGTGGTTGGTTGATTTCAGTTGTGATATTCCAAAACTGATATTACCTTTCAATTTATCATTCTGTAGTTAAAAGCATCCATGGAGGACCAGGGATTCTGTTGTTAGAATTGGTTGGATAAGGAAATTAAACTTATTTTAGAAGTGAAATGGGTTGTATGCAGAGGTTTATGCCAGTGTCCTGAATGTTATTTGCTGGTAAGTGCCAGTCAATTTGGAATAAAAAAAAAAATGAAGATTATTAGCCTGCTCATTGCACATATAATCACTTCTAAGGGTTCAGTCCAGGCATTGTGATTTTTCAGCAGTCAATTTCTTGACTTTTTTCTTGCATAGTTTAGTTGATTTGCTTTTCTTGCAAGCTGAAATATGCATTTGGTAGATGATTTCTAACTTGTGAAGTTTTTCTAACTTATGAAGTCAAGGATTCCGGGAAAGTATGCAGACTGTTCCTACTGTTGAAGAGTTTAATATTGTCCTCTTAAAAATAAAGTTGTAACACCATGTTAATATTTCAGTTTGGCAATGCTTTCCCTGTGATGTCTAATGGATAAATTTTTCAGTAGTAATTTGAAAATATTTCTGAACTAGCTCAATATTCGTCAATTTTATATTCCATACTGAAACACATTCATAGTGTGTTCAAAGTAATTTGGAGATACTGCTATAGAAGAATTGTCTGTTCTGCCAATGCTAAGGGTAGAGTGGATTTTCATATATTATTTTAACAAAAAATGTCATCCTGATTCACTGTGGGTGATTCTTTTGCATTGCAGATGATTGATTATTCCTTTGAATTTCAGCTGTTGTAGACAGTTCATCATTCTCTTTCCCTCTCTTGAGCCTACTTTTTAAGGACAGTATTTTGTAGAAAAGTTACGTTCTGCTGACATTTAGGTAGAACTAAATAGACTGTTGGTTACTTTTCTTAAAATCAGCACTGCAAGCTCATCTTGATTCTGATGCAAGATGTTCTTGAGAAAGCAGGTAATTTGCAAGTATGTCATATTATTTCAGTAGGATTTAAGGCAGGGCTATGCCATTTCACTTGTGATCCAAGAAAAATAAGAACCCAGGTCTCTCTGCTTGTATTTCACATTACGTGAAACATTGTTTGAGGTAGTGGGGTTGTCAACTGAAAGCATGGAACCTCAAGTGTGAAAATGTTTCTGATGGGTCTAGTAATAAACAGCATGTTGCCTTAAACCAGAAGGACAAAAATCAAAACATCATTTTTTTTTGTTAGGAGAAAGATGTGTTTAAACAGGAAGATTCTGACTTATGCATAGTAAAGGCACTCCAGGGCATCATCATACTCCCACCATGAACAAAATTAAATAGTGCTTTCTGTATCAATTGGGCTGTACAATAATTATTAGATAATGACTCAATTGTTGTTTTTAAAAATCTTACACCTTGTCTTGTATCAGAAGTCTTAAGCATAACTTCTAGCTGTAGTTCTCAATTTCTTGAGGAAGAAAACCTGTTCTCATCTCAACAGAGCAAAAGAGTTTGGTTTTTAAATTTTTTTTGCTGCTGTGTTGTCCAATAATTCAGTTAGGATAGTGTTAGTGATGCTTCATAAGTAGCTGGACCCCGAGGCTTTGTCATGACTAGTTCAGTGTGCTTACACACAAGTGACCTGAAATCAGAAACCAAGGCTTGTTACCATCTTTCTTCAAGGCTTTTTGTAAAGAGAGCCCCAAAGGGTGCATGTATTTTACTTTAATATCAGGAATTAAAAGTTCGGTGACAGATGTTGATCACCTGTGTAGAATGAAGTTCAGGTCTCATCCTTAAATGTCTGAGTGAATTCTATTAAAACCTGAGTCTCTCAAGTCTTCCAGGTGTCTTGGATTTAACAGTTTAAGATAAAGCTGTTCAAAAATCATGTTGTTATGTCTCAGTTCTGGCTTTCATCTCTGATCTCTTTAATATTTTTTTCTAGATCAGTCTTCATAGAATAATACAGTGGATGACTGAACCCTTTGTAGGAAACAGAATTGTATATGAGATGAGAGCCTCCTATTCCTATAGTTACAAGAGAAGGAAAAAAAAATCTTCATACTTTTACCTTTTCAGCTCATTTTGTACTACAGCTTCAGCTGCTAGAAGGATTCTGACTGTGACAACCTAAAGAGAAAGAACCCCTTCCCCACTTCAAATGATAGTTGAGTGGCATGTCAAAACAGGGACTAGAAACTATTTTTTATTGCCTTGTAGTCTGTTTGGACTGGAAGCAAAGCAGAGCATTTATGTTTGTAGTATCCAGACAATGATTTCAAACTAGTCAAAAAATCTGAGGTTTTCTGTTCAGTCATAGGACCTCTGTTAGCTTTCCTTGGCATTACATCAGAGTTCTGTTTTGATGTCTGAATATGTAGGAGAACTTGCAGCCCTAAGCCACACTTCTTTCTTTTCCTCGTTGGGAGAGATTTTGCTGCAGTTCATGAAATCAAGAACCAGAAAAGTTCATGGACAGAAGTGAAACATGTCTACTGTGCTAAGAGTTCATTTGCATCTTTAGAGTCCTAAGATGCTTACTGTGCTTGCAGGGGACTGAATAGTCCTTTGTCTCTTAGTTACTGTTTAAATGTCTGTTGATAATTGGCCTTGTTACAAGTTAAGGATTATTCTTACCTGGACGTGATTGTTCAGGGAGGGAAGAGCTCTACAGCGTTTTATCTTATTGCCAAAATTGGACTTACCTTCTGGTTTTGTTTCATTGCAAATTGATGGTAAGGAGAGCTCTTGCTAGTTTACAAAGTTAGTTGAAAATTTAGTTCTCTGTAAGTTGACCCACATTTGTATAGTTATTTAAAAGTACAAGCTACTCAGATGTTATCTAGATAGACCATTTCTTACATTTGTAGCTTAAAGTGAGGGGGTAACTTTTCTCCCACAGGAAGAGAGATCATTTTCCACTAATTATCAATGTGTTGGTAAGATATTCAAGCTAGAGGAGAAGGATATAGAGCAGGCACAGGAATTCAAGTTAGGTCTTCATACTAAACATAGTGCATTAGACTTCAGCTAGTTCAAATCTGATAATTGGTCTTAAGCGTACTCTCCATTCAAAGTGCTGTTAATGGTGTTCTCACTGATGAAAATGCACAGAGACCTTTGAAGGTTGTTTCTTCATTGGGTTACAAATCGTAAAAAAATAAAAATACACTGATTGTTCTGAGTCTTCTCTGTGACCCAATTTTCTTCCACCTTCCCTTCTACCTGTGTTCCCAGTCTGGTTTTGTAGTTTGAGAAGAAAGTGAGGGGTGACTATCTCTAATTCAAATGTCAAATAGATGTAGTTTTAATGATTGAGAATTGAATTACTGGCTGGTGGCAGTCCATGAGTATGTGTGTAGATCCAGGTGTCCACAGTTACTAGTAAAGTAATCTTTCTCCAGTGTTCTCCAACCTTCCCATCCTGTGTCCTAAAATGTTGCATGACAGAGTGAATAACAGGAACAGTAAAGCAAGAATATTCTTGTTGGGATAATTTGAACAGGGGAGGAAGGAAACAGTTCTTGTAATACTTGTAAAGTACTACGAATGTATGACAATTTGGTGCTACTGGCATCTCCATTGCTGTGAAACTACTGCTTTGGAAGAGGTGCTGTGCTAAGTGGGGTACAAATTGAACTGTACTAAGACAAGCTGTTGGGAGAAGTAAAGGCGGAGTAAACATATATAAGGTTAGTGGCAATAGTGTCTGAGGGGTAGAGAAGGGGAGAGCCATTGTATGAAAAGCAAAATTTGAGTGTGGCATATCCATAGGAGAGACGGGGAGGACTTGTCTGAATCTTACTGTCTGTTAGCCCTGTGCTGAGAGAGACCAGGTGGAGGGAGACTGAGCTTTCCTGCATGTTTCATTCTAGTGTTTTAGAGTTAGGCCAGCTACTGAAGAAGAACCCCAAGGCAAACAGCATTGTCAAACTCATTGCCTTTATTCTCAGCAATTTTGGATAAAGTCACTAGAAGCTCCAGGCCACATCAGGAGCTTCCAGAAGTGGAGGACAAATTTGGGAACAAAAGGAGTAGTTAATAGTGGCTTTTTATCCTAGTAAAGCTGACTTAAAAACAAACAAAAAACCCCTTGGTATTAGTCTCATATTTTGATGAAATTCAGAAATAATGTAACATCTCAATTTTCTATATTTGACTTATCTCCTCCTTCAAAAATCTTTCTCCCCCTGGAAATCTCAAATTTTACTCTACGTAATGCAAGATTAAGTGTGTTGTGCACAGTTATGGCTATTGTACGTAGGAGAAGAGCAAAGATAAACCAGTTCTAAGCATCTCTCTCATTACTTTCTCCTAGGAAAATGGTCATTTGTGGAATGAAAGAGTAATTGTATACTGCCAGATATTAAATAGCAATTTTGTATACTAGCAATGTTACTGTCACTTTAGATGTTAGCCCTCAGTGTGCCTCACTGATTCTCAGATTTCCTTCACTCTGTTTACTGCAGATTGTGTACTAGCAGTGTCATCAGTCTCCAAGAACCTGAAATTGTTGATATTGGTCAGCTTCATAAATAGATTACCTATGTATAAATGGACTTCTCATAGCAATATTTTTTTAGTCAGCATCTTGACAATAAATTCTTGGGGTTTATTGCTTCAATTTAGTTCTTAGTGGCAGGATTAAAATTATGACATTAATGTCGTATTCTTGTTTGTGGGCTGTGTGGAGGGTTTACAGACGCTCACAAGAAGTTGACCTGCCTTTTAAAGGGAAACCTGCTTCTACATGTGAGGCAGAAATTCCTATCTAAGTATGACTTTAACATATTTCAAGAGAAAGCATTTAGTTGTGCAAGAAGAGTAGATTAATCAGTTTCACATCCGCTGTTTAGATTTAAGGAGTTCAGCATTTCTTTTAGGAGTCAAGGAGTAGAATGGATTCCTGGGATTCTTCTAGACTTGTTCTCGATGGGGTTTTTTCCATCCGATCGGAGTTCCTTAAATTTTTAATTTGCAACTGCAATTTAAGAGAATTTTGAAGGTTTTCTATATAGAGCAGTGAGTGGCCAAATCTTTCTATATTTGCTTCATCATTATTTCAATATTAAGACATTGAACATCAGCAGTACTTCAGAAGTAGATTGTAACAAGGCACTGGGTGAATCTAAATTATTGTGTTCCAGGTAGTTATTAGATAGCAGATGTCAGCACTCTATATGGATGCCTTTTATTATTTTTGGACTGTTTTTAAGCAACTGAGTTAAGCTAGTCTAGAAATAATTTAGGAAAAAAAATTATCTGTGGCAAAAAGCCTGATTCTTAAGAGGAATTTCCAAGGCTTTGTTCTTTGAATGGCAAACTAAACTAAAAAAAAAAAAAAATATAATAAAGTTGCATGCTAATATCATATGCCGCTTTTAAATAGCTGTTTGTCCATACAAGTGTTACTCATTTCAAATAAGTGAAAATGTGGAGTATTAACTCATTCAAAACCCATTAAATGGGTAAAACCCAATTTACATTTTACACATGTTGCAATAAGCTTGTTCCTCACTTCTGTCTTTTTAGAACAGATTTAAGCTGACCTAATGTAAAAATCTACAGGAGTGAGTTGTCAGGAGGTGAACTTTGTCACCTTGGTGCAATTTGGTTTTCATTTTCTTCACCATTCTACAAGTGTGTATCTCCCTGACAGGAGCATGTGTTTCAGATTTATTTTTTTTTTTTGACTGCTTTCCATATCCATAGTTCTTACGCAGTTTTCAAGGTTGTCTTTTGAAAAGGAAATGTTTCTTCTACTTTCAGGCTCATCTACTTCTAGTGATCCCATATGGTCTGGCCATTCACCACCACCCCATCAAGAAAATTGGGTCAGTTTTGCAGATACCCCACCAACCAGTGCTCTTTTAGCCATGCATCCTGCTTCTGTCCAGGTGTGACACTTTATTGGTATTTGATTTGCTTCATTCAGATTGATGTTGCAATCCTTTTTTTTCTTTTTTTTTTACAATTTTCATTGCAGATGTTTACTGTGTATCTGTGCTGTACTCTATTCAGTGCTGTTTACCCAACAGATACTTGTTTCATTGAGTTGACTTTATTTGGAATGATTAACTGAAAGATACTAATTTAAAAAATGTCAACAATTATGACTTTAAAACATTTGTGTTTAGCTTTTTTGCATATGTGCCATACTTTTTTTCTGCTTACATGCCTGCAGTCATTCCTATCCATATCTATCAGTGTGCAAAAATACCGTCATTATCCTGTAGATGCAATCTGCTGATAGTTTCCTGCAGTTTTTAAACTACAGCGAGATTTAACTATGCTTTATTTTTTGAAGGCAAGAAGTTGAGAATCATAGAAGCGTTTTAGGTAGATAATACTGAGGAAAAATATTTCATTTCAGGACCAGACAACAGTACGAACTGTAGCATCAGCTACAACAACAAATGAAATTCGTAGGCAATCAAGTAGTTATGATGACCCCTGGAAAATAACTGATGAACAAAGGCAGTATTATGTTAATCAGTTTAAAACCATTCAACCTGATCTAAATGGATTTATACCAGGTAAGTTACTCTTTAAAAAAATATAATTGTGGGTACAGCAGTTCTGTTACAAAGACTTTGTTGTTTACTTAGGTTTACATACCATTTTGAAGAAAGTTCTACATTTTACTGATAATATTCTAGTAAAGTCCAGTGTAATTGAGGAAAGGACTTGAAACTAATTTGCCTTTTTCCTTCTTTTAACCCTGGTAATTAGTGCCTTTTTTCCCAAAGCCTTTGCTAAATAGCTCATCTCCTTTACCATAACTGTAAGTCTTCTAATGATTTAACTTGCTTTAAATACTAAAAATGGTTGTTGTAATTTTTCAGGATCTGCAGCTAAAGAATTTTTCACTAAGTCAAAACTACCTATTCTTGAACTTTCTCATATTTGGTAAGTGTGATGTGTCTTTGTTCAGGATAATTATTTAGAAAGATGACAGCTGTCTGGCAGTCATCTAATAATCTACTTACCAGAAGTTGTTATTAAGTGAAATTTCACTAGTACTGTAGTATGTTCAGTCCTACTCACATTTATGCCAATATTATTTTAGTGGGCTTTAATGGGTCTAGGCTAGCACTATTTACAAGGCATTTTGAGCTTTTGAAGAAATTTCAAATACTTCAGAGTAAGAAGTAATTTATTTGATGTTTTTATTGTTAAAGATGCATTTAAATTTAAATACTTAATTCCTTATCTGTATTTCTTTATTCAAGTCTAAGTTTAAATGAAACGTACAGATGCAAATATTTTTAAATGCACTTAGTGGGACTTGATGACAAATTTAGCTTTGACTTGGTGCAAAGCTTGTATTTCATTGTATTCTAAAATTTGTACTGCATCATTGCATGCTATCATTAAATGGCTTACCTTGGCAGATTGGATCTTTCTTTCAGTGTAGTGATTTCTAATGGCTTACTGGCAGATTGGATCTTTCTTTCAGTGTAGTGATTTCTAATTCAGGTATTTTCCCATCTAAAATGAACCACATTGCCTCAGCGCTATCATTTCTTTAGTATACTTTGCCAAAAATCTGAGGCCAATAATATTGTGTAGTACTGGCTTAAATGAATTAAAAACCTGGAGAGATAAAAGTGGGTTTAAATGATCTTTAAGGTCTAAGAAACATTATTAATGAAGGCTCATCTTCTTTGAAGAATAAAGCATGTACTGCTAATATGAAGTGTTTCATAGGGTAAAATGAACTATAAACTGCATTCTTTGATCTTCCAAGTAGCACAACAGAAGTGTGTCTTTTGGAAATAAAATAACCTTAAGAAATGTTATTTATACTAAGTTTTCCTTTTTAGGGAACTGTCAGATTTTGATAAAGATGGTGCACTGACATTGGATGAGTTCTGTGCTGCATTTCATCTGGTAGTTGCTAGGAAGAATGGGTATGATTTGCCAGAAAAGTTACCTGAAAGTTTAATGCCCAAACTGATTGATTTGGAAGACTCCACGGGTAAGACATGCTTCAACACAAATTTCACTATTTTTAAATGATGGTATAGTTAAGGTTACAGTATATCAGCAGATATTTATAAGTTTGTGTAACACATTAGTCAGTATGAAGTAAAGCAATGTGCAATTTTTAGAAATCTTAATCATTGCTCAGAGCTAATCTGAACACATACGTATTTCTATACAGGGAGATATTATTTAGGAACAGTGCACATATTGACTGTTATATTTGGAAATACTGCCTGTGTCCTTTAAAAGTTAAGGAAAACAAGATTGTCATAGTATGGATTTTATTCATGATCAGCTATTGTATTCCAAATTCCCAATCCAGCTGTACTTCAAACTTGCTTTCAAATGAATATGCTTTCTGTTCACCCTCATTTCTGAAAATACGGCATGAATTTCTGAGTCTTGAAGGTACTTAGAAAATATTCCCAGATTCAATGCTAGAGGTAGGACTGTGTAGTTTAAAAGTACAGGATCAGTAGCACGGATTTTTTGTTTTGGTTTTTTTTTTTTTTTTTTTAATTCTACTCCTGGCTTGACAGCAGGATTTATCCTCCATTGCTTTGGCACCTAGTCTTTCTGTGCATAGTCCTTTACCTTTGGATGCTCCCAGATAAGCAGAACTCATACATTCAATGGTTTGTTAATATGTGCCAAAAACCTGGTCCCGTAACTGAAAAGCAAACTACTGTTCCATGTAGAAGTGGTGTTTAAAAACAGGATGCTTGTGGCCATCTTTCTTTTTTATTTTAAAACAGATAAAGGAAACTCAATATTTTAAAACTGCTTTAGGTTACTTTTTAACAAGCAGTCTTTGCTTGGAAAGTCAGGTTATACTGTGGGTTCACAGGTACTATGATTTCCTAGAATTTTATTTCTTTTTACTAAATATTTCAAAGGGGATCTCTTCATACTGTGTTTGTAGGATGTCAAAGACTCATCTGACAATTATTGACGAGTTCTTAAACTAGATACTGTGGCTCTTACTACCTCTGCTTTGATAATTAAACCACTTTTTGTGGGACTAGCTTAGCTCCTCAGAGAACCTTTCCAACAGCAGTCAGCCGCAACTGAAGTGTTTTCAGTATGAATAAGCATTTTACTATCATGAAGACATACATAAGAAGTATCTACAATTAATTCGGTGAATACCTAGTAAGTGTCTGAAACCTACCCATTCTGTCTATTTTTGCGTTAAGGTGATGGCCAAAAATCTTGATAGGAAATGGAGTAAAATTTATTTGTATAAAACATTGTTAGTTTAAAAAAAAAACAACACAAAAAACCCACAAAAAAACCAAAACAAAAAACCCCAACTATATCTATACCTGATCTTCTACTGCCTTTATTGGTAGTAAATTTCAAGGCTTTTATCATTTAACTGAAGTTGTCTGGAAACTTTATAAATTGGACATTAAACTAAAAAGTGTTATGTGTATGTTTATTTTTCTTATTTTACAGGCAACTTTGTTAATATAAAACTTTGACTTATTTTCATGAGGTACAAAGTGGCTTTTAAATTGAGGAAAAACTACTTTTAAAAGCAGTTAAAAAAAAAAAGTTTTTCCCTCTGGTATTAAAGGGAAGTTACCCTGTTATAGTGAATAATGTTAAAATACCGTGCTGTGTAAGCTGTGCTTAAAAAAAAAAAGTTCTGATTGATACTTGATTCTGCTGTTATTAATAGCTACAATGAAAACTGACAGTTCTTGTAAACTTGTTGAGTTTTATCCAGTTAACTAAATTTTTTTTTTTTTTTACTTGTATGTTGAATAAAAGACTTTAGGAGAAATTACTGACTTGACTATAGTTTTACTTGTAGTTACAACAGTCCAAACTTCCAGTATACGTTTACTATTTTAATCTAAATTAAAAGTTAGTCATAGGTCTATGTGCAGACTAATGTGCATGTTAAATTACATGGGTTCAACTGAAGGACTGTAAATCAGCCTAGAAAGATCAACCAGTTATATTTCTGTAATAATTTTTTCTTTTTAGTTCCCATAAAAGCTGTATTTCAATAAAGCTTGCTTCCAACAGCCTTCTCGGAAATAGAAACTGTAAAGTATGGCACTGGAGCGTCTTTTTGAGTGCACTTCTTTCATGGGATACAACTTTCTCAAAGAAATTGTTAGTGATCATCTTCTGCTGACTGAAGCCTCAGTGTGAATAACATACTTTCAAACTGTTCAAGAAGGCGAATTACTTGAATGTCTTTTTAAACCAATGTGCAAGATGGTTAACGTTTATTTCAAAAGTGCTAGCAATACCCTTATTAATTCTGTCCTTTTGTTAGAAACTTTCCGCTTGGTCTTCCACGCTTCTGCTCTGCACTTGAAACTTGCTGTTTCTTTCCATTTTGACTTCTGAACTAGTGGCGAGCAGAAAGGAAAGTAACAGAGGGCTCCCTGCACCCTATGTCTCTGTTCAGACAGAGGGAGAGAAGAACTCTTGTGGTCCAGTCTGGCAGCCTCTCCCTCATCAGCCCCTGTGAATCTATTATGTGACAGCTCCAGGTGTCCCAAACCCATTAACAGATTGGTCTTGTCTTACATCTGGTTTCATGACCAGGGATATGTATTTCTCTCACATGACACAGACCTATCGTATAATAAAGCATTTATATAGTTTGTCATTTTTCTGGTATAGCACTACACCCCTACAGAATTTTAATAGAAAAAAATGTTAAATGAGGTGCTAATATCGTTCTGCTGACTAGGTAGAGAAATGAGGTGTTTTAAGTTCTTAAAATAATGTGGTAATTCTACAACACATTTGAATGGTTTCAGTATTTTGAATTGGATTGTATACTTCAAAGAATGATTTGGATTGCAGCAGCTCCACTTAAGATTTAACATTGCGTTGTGGTGTTTGTAGATAGATAATTTCAGCTCTTCAGAATGAGCAAGGTCTGTCTGCGTAAGAACAGCCTGTAGAAGAAAACTGCAGTGAATGAAAATGGGAGCGTGAAGTCAGGCAGTTGTACAAATACTTCTCTAAGTGCTTATACATTTATTTTATGAATTGAATACTATTGATAGCATCTGTATCTGTCTTGGCAGAATTTATGATCTGCAGCTGAAGAGAGTACTAGTTTCACTTCCTGTTACGTAAAGAAATGTGAATATTTTCCTTTAAACTCAATTTTATCTCAGTTAGTAAAAGCTACCAACCCTTTACAAAACTCAAAGCAAGTTTTGCTTTTCTGTGAATTTGTTTTTTGTTTGGGCTGCTGCAACAATGCCATTTCTTTGTAAGAAAAAGAATCTGCCGTGCTTTGTGTCTTACACAACTTAATTACTTTAACCCCTGAAGTTTTCCATAGGTGTCTCATGCATGTTTTGTGTAGATATTTGCAAAACTCCTTGAATTACAGGTAGCTGCATAGTCTATCCACAGCAGTTTTCAGCCTTATCTTTTGACCTTGTGTTTAACACAAGGTCACTAACTACACTAGTAGTTAGTTCAGTTATCTAGTGCACCACTGCTGAAATGAGAATTTTGAGTGTGTTTTAAACTCATCAGAAAATTTCTGTTCATATTACACTTCAGAGCAATTCATATGCAATATGCATTCCTAAAACATTACCACAGGCATATTTTGAACTTAGAATATTATTCTGTGTACAATGACCAGAGCATGTCATCTTGATTACTTGGTGACATCATTGTGCCTGTAAATATCAGCTTGATGTAGCCTGGTTTTTATTGCCAGATGCTTTTTGCCTGAAGCAGGTATTAGATGTAGTTTCTATCTTGAATACTTTGTAAAGCCATTTTCCCTAAAGGACAGTAATACAAGATGCTAGGTGCTGGGCACAATTTTGGGAACATCGGGTCTCAACCTGATGCCTGGCTATTTACAGGAAGCTTACAAGACCTTTGAAATTTTGAGTTACTGGTTTCTCTGTGTGGCGTTTTTCATGTCAGTAGCACCTCAGCCTCCCCTGGCCTCAAGATGGGACAATTAATTTCTTTTTGGGTTTGAGTGTTTCGGCTATTCTTTTTAGGCTGTGCCTCTTGCTGTCCTCAACAGCACTTCAGAGACAATACTGGATTGTTATGGGTTTTCAAAGGTGCAGTTGGTCACCATTTACTATTCAAGTGTTTCCAGTTCAAACTTTTTGTTGGTGCCAGTTTTACACCACCACACACATGCTTCCTCCACTCCTGCAAGCCACACAGCTTGATTTGACACTGGATTTGTTATGAGTTTCTGCTGAATGGAAGACAGCAGACAGAATATTGAGCTGTCGTAGCAGAAGAGCAGGCTGCAGAGTTCAGCTCTTCAGGAGTCTGAAACCAGTCCTTTTTAGAAATTTTAATCAATTTTTGGTACAGTGTATCACACATTCTTGTGGCAGTCATCTTCAATCACATCCCTATCAAGCAGTCCTTTTAAATGGTAATTTAATTAAGCCATCTTTCCTCTTGTGCAGTATTTTGTCTTGTTCAGAGTTTTAATTCTTTGGACTACAAACATCTTGTTAATATGTCTAGCTACTTATCAGTCACTCTTTCAACTGTTCCTGTTACTTACACTTACACATTTGTAATCTGAACTTCAGTTTTTTGAGGCTTTCAAGGCATTGCTTTAGCTTGTATTGTGGTATCTAGCAAAGTAGAAGACACTGTAAGCAGGATTTTACTGTTATGCAGAATGCTTAATCTGCTGTTCAGATTTACTTTACCCAATTGTCTTATAATTTGAACAGAAAAATAACTATGCTGCATCATGAAAATTTATACAACTCTGGAGGAATGTTTCTGCAAGGGACTGTACTTGCTGAAAGCTCAGGGAAAACTGAAATAACAGTAACAATGTACAGTTGCAATGTGACAGCGGCTAGACTTGTTCAATTTGCAAAATATAGTGAATGGAAACACCATTGTTTTAGTAAGGAGGCTTAAAACTTAAAATATTCTTTGGAGAATAATCTAAGGGAATGGTTTACATCTCTTCATATTTTTGGTTTATGTTTGCATTGATATGCTGGTTTTGCTTTAAGCTTTCATATAAGGAAGATAAACTTCTTGGTGCTGGATTTGATGTAATAAATGTTAGTGTGAAGTTATTTTCTCATAATGTAAGAAAGGATTATATTTATTTCTACATGTAATCAAAATCTAAAAATGCTATCTAAAACCCAAAGTACTGGGAGGTAGTATGGTAAGAGTAATCTTCAAAGTCCATTTTTTAGAAGGATCCTCAAAATAAGAGTAGCACCGGATAAATAGTATGTTTGACTTGAATGGGTGCTGCTAAGTATCTACTTGGAAAAGGGAAAAGCAAAGGGTACTTTGCACTTTCCATGAAACGTGAGCAGCTCTTCTGAGAATAAACTGAACGCAATTCATGATCTTGGTTTACAGTGATTCCTGTCATTTCAGAAGTTGGGGAACAGACTGGTGAGGTAGGTTACTCCAGCTCTCCAGCAGAAGCACCTCCAAGCAAGTCTCCATCAATGCCATCCCTAAACCAGACCTGGCCAGAACTGAATCAGAGCAGTGAGGTTAGCACTTTTATTTGAGTAATTTCATTGCCAGTCAATAACTACATTGTGTATGCATCCATAATTCATCATAAGTGGATTGTTGATGACAACTAGTGAAAAAGTTCAGCAGGACAATAGACACAGGAAGGTTCTACACATGTTAAATTGTAAAAAAGGTAATGTTTTCCTTCTGATTTTTCTGTCTCATTTTGAGATGAGCTACTGTTTAAAATGTTGTCATTAACTGTAATTAAGCTTTATATTAATCACAAAATGATCTCATATCATTTATTGGAGAAGTTGAATTCATTCTTGATTTTTTTCTTTTAGGGTGGGTTTTTGGTTGGGATTTCTTGTTACCTCTGAAGGGCTTTTATAGCCAACACTTTTGCAAAACTTCAAAATAAATTTCTGATGGATCTGGACATTGAGACTTATTTCTGGAGATCATTTTACCCTGAAATATAAAATATCTCACCAGTAATGTAGAGAAGTCATAGCTCTGGGTTTGTTTCAGGAGTAAAGACTCAAAGTTGAATCTGAAGCCAACTGCTGGCTAAATTTATTTAAATTTTAAATTTTTGCTGTTATGTACTGCTGCTTTATCATCCTTTACCATACGTATTTGCTATATAAGCAGTCTTATATAGTAAAGTTGTATTTTGTCAGAATTTGAAACTGAAGTTACCAAGCAGTTGTTGGGGTTTTTTTTCCCCCCACAAATGTCCATTGTTTAAAAAGCCTGTAAGGGATTGATTCCTAGAGTTTTTCTTGTTCTGTTTTAACATTTTTGCCTTTGTGACTTAGAATAAACCAATGTTTTATTCTAAGAGCCACTTCAGACACTCAAATGAGTTCCTGACTGCAACCATACTACAAAGATGATGTAGGCTTATTTTTCATTATAAGGGGGGGGGGAAGGGAAAAGTATTGAAGTAATTTATGGAAAACTCTTTTCATTTAATAATCTGAGACTCTCAAGAAGAATCTAAAACTTGTTTTAACATCTAAGATAGTTCTATCAGTAGCTGAGTATTATCTTGCCTGCTTCTCTTATTGAAAGAGCTTTTTGTGGCTTTCTTCTTTCTTCGTTAGACTTCAAGTGAATAGACGATTGGTAGTAAAAGATTTAGACAAACCAAAGAAGAGTCAGTATGAAACAGAAAATAAGCAAATTTTTAGGATTAAAGTTAGGAGCAGAGGAAACTTTCTTTGTCTCTCAGGAGGAAGGATGTTGTAAAGTCTGCTGTTCCTTTTAAGGGCAAATGCTAGCCTCACAGTGATGTCCTTACCAAATAAAAAATGTAGGAAAGGATTTAGTGATTCTTAGTTGTTCTATTTGACAGAGTGACTCTTCAGACTGCTGGTAGGAAGCTGTGTTTTAGGAGGGAGGTGAGCAGATATTCACTTGTTGCTGAAAAGCTGTTAATGTCTGCAACTCTATTAAAATTTGCATTGATACATTCCCTCATGTTTGCAATAAAGATTTGATAAGCTAATCATTTGGTAAGCTGCATCATAATGGAACAGATTCCTTCAGTGTCCAGTGCAACTCAAACCAATTGAATAGGATAATTGCACTAGTGGAACAAAGTTAATGATACTTCTCTATCAGCCAAAATCTTACGAAACTGACTTTGTCCATTCAGATAGATAATGTGGTATTTTCTTTCTGAAAATCTACTAAAACTTTAAGAGCTTTGGAAAAATTCTCACACTAAATATACTACCAAATACTAACTATACTAAAATAAGAGTTGAACATTTATTAAATGTTAAGAGTTTTTTGTTCTAACACAAAGGAATTTCTGATTTTTTCAGCTATATTGCTATGCATGCTTCTTGCTCCTCAGCATTTTCTTTTCAGCATGAATCAGGTCAAAGTCCTCAAGGTTTTAATGCCGTGAAAAAAATTTCTGGCATTAATGCAGGCACCAGTCTAATTGTTTCCTCTTTGTTGATGACAGTTATAAAAGGTTCAAATGAATTTCTTGAAAAAGCTATGCATCTTTGAATCATCTGCCTTTCCAGGCAGTTTCATCCCAGTTAGTTTCAAAACTGTTGTTACTCTGCTCTTTCTAGCTCATAGTTGATTTTTAGACTCCAGTTGCCGGGCTCAGTTACTGTAAGCTCACAAGTATGGACCTAAGGCATCAATCTCAAGCTTCAGAATAAAGAGCACCATGAAAATTCACCTAACTCTGGATACTACATGCTTCACATTCTCATCTGTTCACTCATCACTTCTTTCTCACTTCAGACATCTCTTTCCATCCCATCTCAAGGCTGAGTACTTAATTCTGAGAGCTTAAAAAAAATTGAAAAGCCTATTAAATTTTTGTTGAAAGTCTAGTGTCATATGGTTGTATTAGCTTTGACACAGATGTGGAGATTTGCTTTTGAGTTCACAACTGTTACACCTTGTTTCAAATGTCTTGGTGTTCTTTTAGTAACGGTTCAGGTTGTTGAGAGTTTTAGTTTTTAGTAATTAACCTTTTGAAAGTATTTTTGAAAGTCTAGAAGGCAAGTATTTTAGTTTCAGCTAGTGGGAGTTTTATCCTAGCTGATCAGTTGTAGTGTCACGGCTGTTAAACCTTGCACAGAGTTTGAGATGCAGTCCAGTAGATCCTTAATGTATGTAGCTTTCTGTTAACCAGGGAATTAGCAGTAACTAGCTTCTGGTAGTATTTCAGGATGGAGCACAAACAGCATATTCCCCAGAACAGTCAGGAGGTGTTGGTGGTCATTTTTCTGTGCCCAGCTAGGGAGCCTGAGGACAAGTAATAAATGTCCTGCAGTTTGACTTCAGAGGAGTAGAATAAGAGGTAAATTCAGCATCCATCTCTAAAAAATAATATTTTAGTATTGATCTTAAATATAACATAGATGCTGTATGTCTTTATGGAAGCTTTCAAAAATTAAGAAACTTTCTGTAATCCAATGGTCTGTTTGCCAGTCTCACCGGTGACTTTGAAGCCACTGGCCAAATCAAGTTTAAAAGGGTAGTGGTAGTCCTAAAATAAATAACGCATGTTTCATGAAAATGAGCAGCTGCATAAATGCAAGAGGCCAAATCAGGGCAAAGGCTGGCAGAACTTGGCCATTAAGTTTCTGACTTAGTAAAAACTGGCTCACTCAAAACATTTGTATAGCTCCAAACTGCTTGCAGTGCTGCCTCTTCACGAAGGGGTGGAGTGACGCAGAGATGAACTGTTTAATACAGGGAGTGGGACAGAGCAATTAGGAAGGGGAAACCTTATGTTCTTACTAAAAAGGTTTCATTAGATTCTGTCCATGAAGGGGGTAGTTTTGTGTGTTTAAAACAAATAAAACCACCACCAAAAAAAAAAGACCAAAAAAACGCCCACCCCCAAAAAACCCATATGAACAGTATCCCGTAATCTTTGCCTTAATTTAGAGTTTGAAATGAGGAGATAAGGCTCTGTCTCTACAAGGAGCAGCACCACACATGAAAGCAGTTACAAATTTAGTTGATCTTTTTCTGAATTTAATTTCAGCTGGTTGAAAACAGCTATTTAGGAATTTCCATAAAGAGTTATTTCTGAAATAATTTTTTTAGACTAGGTTCACATACAGGCCACTCACTGAATATAGTTCAGTTGTAGAGGAGCGCATGAGATTAGGTTGACTAGCACCATGTAGTTTGTCCTGTATCTTCTGGAATCATTTACACTGATTTGCCTATAGAGATGGGACAAGAATATGAATTTGTTTTCACAGTTATACTAACATAATTTTTGTCAAATTTTGAGCACTAAAAACTTTGTATTTGTAATTTTTGTTGTAGTGTTTGAAACTTGGTTAATATTTACTTGTTATTTTACAAAAATATAACAAGTTTAGCATTCCTATTGTGATTTGTAATCTGGTTTCTGGATCACAGACTAATTTTAGGTACTTTGGTACTTTGTTGATCCAGTTGTGGCTGTAGCTTGACTTACTAAGCATGAAGACTCTTGACAACCATGTATTGATACAGCATGCCTATATCTTATAAAATTGTTCAGAGATTGACTTATTTGCTTTTAGCAATCAACAGTATGTTTGAATTTAATTCTTTGCCTTGTCAGTGATTTAGACTTGTAAAAAATACTCTTTTACAGCATAGAATCACTTCTCGGGTTGCACTGGCAAGCTGAACTGGTGTTACTGGAGTACTCTGCTCAGTGTTCATTTGTCTGGGATTTTGTAAGAAAATCAGCATTTACAAAATACATTTGAAACTCGGCAGCTACAAAGCTGAGGAACCTTTCTGTGGATTTTATAATTACAGATATACACACAACATGTGGCACTGATTTTATCTTTACGGTATTTGAATGGCTTAACCAGTTTTTTTAATTGTATGATTTTCATTGGCAACCATGAACTCTGAAGGTACTTCTGTGTTGACTGTGCACCTGTATCTTCATTATGAAATGTGAATGTAAAGATTAATATTGACAGATAACAGTTAGTTGCACAACAATCTCAGACTGAAATAGAAATACTTAATGTGTATTAGCGTGCTTTCCAAGTCAAGTACTGTCCAGTGCAAATTAGTACTTTCCAGTGCAACCTCCAAACTACTATGCTAAATCTCCTCAGTGATCTTTTACTTCCATCTTTCTCATCATGCTGACTTCTCTCCTCTGTCTGTTCAGCAGTGGGAGACATTTAGCGAACGCTCTTCAAGCTCACAAACTCTGACCCAATTTGATTCTAACATTGCACCAGCTGATCCTGTAAGTCAATCACTTAGCTTGCTTGTTTGAAATTAATTTTATTAACACTGAATTTCCATTCATTGTATTTAGCTGTTATGCATGATTCCATGGACTGCTTTTTGGGGAATGGTGGCAGGCTTCTTAATTTTTTTGCTTATTTTAGGAATATAAATTTTCTAGTACTGCTCGTGTTTAAGATCTGAGTGCAAAGAATGCTTTTTTCCCTTGATTTTGATGTAATACAACACTGCTATCAAAACCTGTATTACACAAAGTATTTAAACTAAATGGTTTTTTGAAAATATTTATAAGTTAATGCAAGTGCCCCTCCCAGTGATAAACCAGTCCCATTTGAGATTTTGTCTTCTGTGTCGTTTTGTTTTTTTCAAGTTGCAGAGCTTGATTTGCACAAACTCCTAGGAGCTGACAATGCCAACTTCACTGAAAAAACTGCTGGGCTTTAATGGGTGTGATATTTCATACTGCTAATGTTTTCACCAAGTTACTTATTAATAAGGCTTTTAGTATTTCTCCAGCTAAACCTGTGCTGTTCTAATGCTTTACTCAGTGAGGAGTGCTCTGAAGGATTATGTACTTAAATACCTTGCCAAGTTTGGGAGCCAGAAATTCACTACAGTGTGTCAAGTTCTGCTCGTTTTAAACTTCACAGCATGTGACATTGAAGCAGTTCTGAAATGCATTAAAATTACTTTCGTATTTAGCTGCTGCTTTCATCCTGCTTTTCTTACAGATTTAATTACCACTGTTAGTGTCCATTTTAATTTAATTAATTACAGTGTTAGTGTCCATTTGATTACATAACAAAATATAATAGGGGTACATAATACACATTTAACTGCTTTTAATATTAAACAGGTCACTTCTGAAAAGATAATACATAAATATACATGTATTTTAAATATATCAGTGCTCCACTCTCAGAGTTAACACTGATATTTATGTGGAAATAGCATTTCTAGATGCTGGAAGCTAGAATTCAAACTGCACTGTTCCCTGTGCTCAGAATTGCCCTTAGTAAACATTCAAAACAAATGAAAATGTCATAAAGTGAAAACCAGCCCTTTTTCATCTGAGAGAGACTTTTTTGGTTTAAATGTACTGTATTTTTATGTTTTAATGATGTAAACATGATGGAAATCAGTTTGTAGTTGTTTCTTACTGTGTATAGTTGCTTGACAGTAAAGAGCTATTGCTGTCTTGTTTCCACAATAAGATAGTAATTTATTTTTACGCATAACTAGTAACTGACAGAAATCTGAAGTTTGAATTTTTTTCCCATACGTTGATAATCTAAAAAGTAGAACAGTGATGATATATGCAAAACATATATAGCCATATATATGTTTATGTGTGTGTTTGTGTGTATGCATGTGTGTATAAACAGAAATTCAATAGAAATACAAAAAATATACTGGGAGATGACATTCTCGAGTCGTTTTCTTACAATGCTGGTAGTTGAGAAAAATTTTAAAGAATGGTGAGCATCTTTGATGCTTGCTAAGGTAACAGACTTTGGAAATAGATACTTCAGAGTCTATTTTCATAGGAAAGTAAGAACAAATTAGAGCAAATTTTCAGTGACAGTGTGCAGACTTCTTATTTTAGCAGTCAGCAGTGATGCCTAGGACTGATTTATTGAACAACTCCTGCTTTCTCAAAGGAGAGAATCAGTTTTCTTAAGCAGTTGTTAATAAATAACTAAAGAGTAAATTCATAGACCAGTTCTTTTCTCTTTTTGTTGGAAAAGCAGCTGCTTTAGAGGTAAAAGATAAGTGGAAAGAGTAAAACAGTACATTGACAGACACACACCCCCCGTAGGAACATAATTTACCTATTGTAAGTGAAAGTTGGTAACATGTTAAGTTGTTTTGTGTAAAATTAGATTAACGATCTGAATTAATACATTATATAAAAATCCATTTAACTCTGTAAGACGTTATTTTCGTGGTAGCTGCGCATTAGATTACAGCAGAGGACTGAAGTAGCTACAGCAAGAGTGATCTTTGCATGATAATCCCATTACAGGGGAAAAAAAGCGCAACATGTTTTAAAGTGATAACTATTCCTAAAAGCCTTGTGCAACAAGAGTGTTTGAGCTGTTTTGAGCTGTGACTAGAAAGTGGTTTTAAAAGCCTATATTTGCAACAAGAGTAGTGCAAGTAAGTTTTAAGAGTTTTAGAAAATATTAATGTAAATGTATTATGCTTGGTGAAATTGGTCTACTTGAGCAGTCAGAACAGATTAAATTTCTGATACAAGGGTAGCTTTGAAACTTCTTGTTATTTCTAGGGACAGAATATAATCTGGGATTTTTTTTGTGCTGTCATTGTCCCACCCATTCATATATTCTGAATATAGATAACAGTAAAAAACCTCAAACAGCTATGTCCCTATTTTTAGGTTACTTGTGAACAAACATAAAAGGTTTGAGATTTTTCTGTTTGTTATCTACACTCAGTCTCCAAACCAAATGGAAAGGGCTGTCTATAAAGTACATTAAAATGGAGTCCCTTGTCTGAACTGCAAAGAAAAAGCCTAAGTGTAAGGTCAACACCTATCTAGAGATATGTTCCATAGGGTTTATTATACTTAAGTTTAGAAGATTTTACTATTTTAAAGACTCTTGAAACTATTCTTAAACTGCTATGAAGTACCTATTTTATAGAGAATTATTCATACTACTTAAAGAGGCCATAACTTTCTGAGGCATCATAAGTAAAGTCAAAAGTGGATTTTAACGTTTGTTGGGGGGGGTTGTTTGTTTGTTTGTTTTCTTTTGAAGATGCACTTGAAGTAACAGATATCTGGTATGCCAAAAATGGTGGAAAGCTGGTAAAATTCAGGTCCTATTTACAACACAGTAATCTATAGAAACATTTCTAGTGCCCTTTTAAAGTAATATGCTAGGTTACACCTTATAAATCATTAGAGAAACTTCAGCTTATAGAGCTTTGGTTTTATGGGTATATTCAATCCCCTGGAACCGTGTAAAAAATAAAATTTATGAATTTTGTTTAGAAATGGCATTTTGCATGGTGTCAGAGATTCTTAATAGAACAATTTAAAACTAGATTAGCATCACTTAACTCTCATCTCCTCCACAGGACACTGCAATTGTGCACCCAGTTCCCATAAGAATGACTCCAAGCAAAATCCACATGCAGGAAATGGAGCTTAAAAGAACTGGAAGTGGTAGGATATTTTCTCTTGCTAATGAGGAAAGTTTTGTAAAACTACAGTTGGCTCTGCTTCCTAAAACATGCTCGCTTTTTCTTCTCCTTAGATGAATATATTTGGAGTTGTAACCAGCATAACGAATGAGATTCTCTGAGTTAAGAATTAGAGTACTGTTCAGATAGGTGCAGAGTTTGAATTGGCCATTTGCTACAGTGACGATTTCATCACCTATAGGAGATCATTGCTTGAAGCAGTTCAGGAGCATCATGATACAGATTTGATTTGGGCCTCCGGGATGATGTCTAGGTTTCTGACAGACTGTGAAGATGGAGAACATAGCCTGCACTGATAAAGCTTATTCTACTGTGGTCAGAAATACTGAGTTTATTATTTTGAAACTTGACAGCATTTGGGAGTATTGGCAGGCCTTTTTTTTTTCTTCTTCTTTTTTTAACACTGGTCAAAAATAAGCAAGGTGGCTTGATAATTTTCCTTGAGGAACAGTGCAGTCTCGACTTACAGACGTGTCCCAATATGCCAGTATTTCCTAAAGTCATATAGCTCGTGCAGAGTCTTCAGCATATGAGAATAAACAAGTATCCACAACACATTTCTTTTCAAATTTCCTTAGCCTTGTAAATAGGTAAAGATTCCCATCTTTTAACACTGAGAAATAACACTATTACAGTATAAAACTTCAAAGTCAAAATAATTCATACGCCAAAAGTGTTAAAATACAACAATTTTAATCTTGAGTGCAGCACTTCAGGTAAGGACAGGAAATTAATGTAAAGCTTTGGCATCAGAAGTAAAGGCTAGTTTGAATACATTTGTTTTATTAGGCTTGTTTTTTCCATCTAGATCATGCTAACCCTACTAGCCCACTACTTGTGAAACCACCTGATCTCCCAGAAGAAAACAAAATGAGTTCATCTGTAAAATTTACAGCTGGAAATACAGTTAGTAAGTATCAAAGTACTTTCTGATCTCACCTTTTACATTATGCAAAATGTGGATCTGATATATTCTTCAGTGAATGAAAACTTGCTAGCTAACAGCAGCTCTAAAATGAGATAAACTTATCCTAAGAATAGAGACATTTCTGATATGAAGTATATATTAGAAGTAGTAATTAAGAAAGTTCTACTGATGTCACTGGAGATGTTTTCCTGCCATACGTGTTCAAAAAAGTTCATTTTGTCAGCTCTCTTCCATCTTCCTGTTTTCTCTTTTAATCTTAGGATGAGAAATTGAAATGTATGGAAAGTGGAATTGACTAAGTAGCATTTGATTCTACTTCCTCAGAACTGTGTGACAACATGTTTTCTGAAGAGTGAAAACCTGTTGACCACAAGATTTTTCAGGCACTTCTCATCTGGTTTAGCTACTAAGAAAATGTGATAGACTTCTAGATTTATTTTTTAGGGACAGCTTTTCAAGTGTTTATTTGCTTCTAGTAGCATTTCTGATTTTCAGTATCTCCTATGTCCAAAACATTTTGCATTATTTTGGTTTGATTAGTCTACTTCTCTCATATTGAGAGAGGTCCCAGATTATATGTAGCCTGAATGAATCTCTGGAGTCTGTTTCTGAGATTTTTTTTTTTATTTTATTTTATTTAAGCTGGGCACTTTTCTTCAGTAAAAATAAGGTTTGAAGAACTCATTACTTTGAGTCCTTTGCTGTGCAGTATTAAGACAGAGGTATTTTGGTTGATTTGTAATACAGGAGTAATTTAAAAGGTGCCTTTTTGCAATGCATTTTGTTTTCCTCATGAACTCTGTTTCAGTGGCACTCTTCGTTCTGAGCAACGTCTTGAGCCTGTCTGTCTTTTCAAGCAGAGCTCTGTTTTTACTAGGTAGTCTTTTGATGCAAAAGAAAGAATGAGCAAACATGGTCTTTTAATGGGGAAACTACTACTATACGCAGGATCTGAGTTCTGAGAGCCCTTCTGTAGTCCTTTTTCCTTTTCCAAGTATAGCTTAACCTTTGATAAAGGGCCTGTAACTGTAATTATACTGAGAAGTATTCTTCCCTCAGAGGAAGAATGTAGTGAAATAAAACAAACCTCATTGCAGTGTAACATGAAGCCACCCTGTAGTACCTCAAACTGTAGTTATCATGGGATGCCCATCCTTTTTCTGAAGAAATGGCTCTTGTCACTATTGTAAGTAATATGGTTAGTTAACACCTTCCAAGTGAATCCCGAAGAAATCATTTAATACAAGCTAACTCCAGAAAATGAATTTTTGATGCTTAAAAAAACCACATAAATCTAACAGGATTTTTTTTTTGTGCAGACTTGCTGTCTTGGTAATTACATTTCTTAATGTTCTTTAGTGTCATACTTTAATAGTGTATCTGAGCACCTTCTATGCTAAATCAGTGACAATATCTGTAGTGTGCTTCCTTGAGTTATTGGGCTGGACACTGATTTCAGTGTTTGCTTTAGTTGCTTGTTTTTGTTTATCTGTGCCAGAATTCATTTGAGAATAGGGAGTCTCAATCTTAATTTAAGCAAGTCTTTTTGTAAGTGTTTTGGTTTTATCTATCTGTCTCACTGTTTTGGAAGTGTTGTTTCATAAATGGATATTCTTAAGAACATTTCTTCTAGAATATTTTGTTTATAGGTTCACATGCTTTTCTGCATTGTACAGATTTCTTAGTGGTTTATTGATCAAAATGTAGATGCAGGTTAATTATTTTACTTCTCATAGTCTACTGTTCATGGATCAATATATTAAAATAGTATTTGAATTGAGAACTAATGGAGATTTATAAGCATCATCTTGATGTTGAGAAATTAGCAATTTGTCTTTATTTTCCATGCTTTACATCAACAGTGATTCAGCTTGGAAGTTACTAATTTGTAAATAGCAGCTCAGACCTAAGCCAGGAAGCAGGGACAAACTTTTCCATTGCATGAGATAAGAAAGAATTCAGTAGGCATAGGCACTGCACAATTGTCTTTCTGTGCAAGCTGTGTGATTTGGAACAAAGGAGAGAGGATCTATAACCTCAGAAAGTGATAACTGGAGAAGTGCGTCAATAATTCTTCTGAGTGCTGGACACCCACAGTGTTGAAACTGTTACTATGCAAGTAAAAATAAAAGCAGCAAAAATAACTGCTGTTTTCCCAGATTGTTTTAACTTTAAAGCAACATGCTACTTCAATATGTCATTAAGGACAAGTTTGTGAATATGTTATTTTAAACTCCTGCTAAATGATATAAACAAGATCATGAATACTGCAATCAGAAGGTAAGGATAATCTAAATTACCTTCCTTCATAATGAAATTCAAACAGAGCTGGAGACTAGGTTGTATTACTAACACTGAAAAGTAGAAACCTCCCTTGAGGACAAAAATAACATTGCAAAAGTGTGTATATCCTTCATAATAGGAACTCTACCTGACTATCATGCTTACGTTACTGGAAATACTGAAAAAGGATTCTGTTAGATTTAAGATTGTATTCAAACTCATGATTTTGGATTAGCCAATATTGGTGCAGTATGAAGATTACATTTGCCAAGTGACCATCCTTTGCCTTGTAAAGCCATTGAAATTGTTTACTGTCCAAATGTCTTTGAAATTGGTTTAGAAATACTTCTTCCATTATCAGTGTCAACTTTTTGGTTCAGAAGGACTTACTCTTTCCTCTTTAAAAGTGTGATTACATGAATTCTTGTTTGACTAGGTTATATTATGTCCTGGATGGCTTGAGAAATATACCCTGTACTAGAGATGTTTGGATTGGAGAGAGATAATTCCATTCACCATATAGCCAACTTCTGCTTAAAACTTTTCTCACTTGATCCAATTACCTTCTCATAATGAAATTCAAACAGAGCTGGAGACTAACTTGTATTACTAACACTGAAAAGTAGAAACCTCCCTTGAGGACAAAAATAACATTGCAAAAGTGTGTATATCCTTCATAATAGGAACTCTACCTGACTATCATGCTTACGTTACTGGAAATACTGAAAAAGGATTCTGTTAGATTTAAGATTGTATTCAAACTCATGATTTTGGATTAGCCAATATTGGTGCAGTATGAAGATTACATTTGCCAAGTGAAAAGTAGAAACCTCCCTTGAGGACAAAAATAACATTGCAAAAGTGTGTATATCCTTCATAATAGGAACTCTACCTGACTATCATGCTTACGTTACTGGAAATACTGAAAAAGGATTCTGTTAGATTTAAGATTGTATTCAAACTCATGATTTTGGATTAGCCAATATTGGTGCAGTATGAAGATTACATTTGCCAAGTGACCATCCTTTGCCTTGTAAAGCCATTGAAATTGTTTACTGTCCAAATGTCTTTGAAATTGGTTTAGAAATACTTCTTCCATTATCAGTGTCAACTTTTTGGTTCAGAAGGACTTACTCTTTCCTCTTTAAAAGTGTGATTACATGAATTCTTGTTTGACTAGGTTATATTATGTCCTGGATGGCTTGAGAAATATACCCTGTACTAGAGATGTTTGGATTGGAGAGAGATAATTCCATTCACCATATAGCCAACTTCTGCTTAAAACTTTTCTCACTTGATCCTTGAAAACTTCAGTGTCATCTCATGGTAGCCATTTCTGTTTCTTTTTTTAAAAGAATGTTTATATAGGTATTTTTTAGTTCTCTGTAGCCCTCATTGAATAGAGACACACCTGTAAACCTGCAAAATAACTTTTAATCTGAAATTAACTTGGAATAAGGTATTCCTCAGCTGACTGTGCATGGTAGAGGTCTCAAACCAACTTTGCTAGATTAATGTAGCTGTAGTTTTAAGGAAAAAAAAATAGTAACAGGAAAGAACGTGCCTTGCTGAACAGGAAAGTCATCTCTGCAGGATTCTCGTCTCTGGATCCTGGTTGATGTGTCTTAACATTTTTGAAAACTAGTGTCCTAGGAGGTTAAAGTAATCCTTTGAGACTGGGTAATTCAGAAAAAATCTTGATGTTCTTGGATAGAATTCTCTTCTTTACTGATACTAATCGGGTGGGTTTCATTGCTCCAGTGACTTTCCACCTTGAATTGTGCTTTACCAGGTGCTCTGGAATCATCCCTTGTGATAAATTACTCTGAGAGCCATTTTTCTGTCTACATTCATTCCACACAAATCTTGTGATTTTGGTGAGACTCCTCATTTCTGGGGGAAGAACCCTCAAGCTTTGCACAGCTTTTAAGGGTAAGGGTGTCCTTAAGGAAACTGTCTACCTGATGCTGTAATAGCATCTTTCATTTTTATAGGCTGCCTTGACCAAAAGCTGAAAGCTTTTAAAAACATTTAGTCCAAAACAGAGCTGACTACCAGCCTTAAAGGTACAGAAGTTACAGTTGTAGCGAAGCTACTGAGTTCATCTGTGTACTGTACATACCTTTTCCTTTTTCTGACTTCTAAGGTTGGTGACAATCATTCAGCACTTCTAAAACCAAGCATGTCCTACTTCTTGTTTTTTTTTTTTCTTGGATGTCCCTTACTCTTGTTGGCTAGATTGTTGAAGTGATGGAATGTCAAGTGTTTAAAAATTATTGCTTATGAAACTTACATTTTGTATTTTAAATACACCATTATTGTCATTGTTTATTCTTCAGTACATCCCAGTAGTAACAAACAACTCGTAGTATTGGGCGAGAGGAGTTGGTTTGTATCGGATCCTTCAGTTATTCAGACTCGAGGATTTTGAATCCTGCCCTGATGATACCTTACAGGGAAGCAATACAAAGACATAAACCTTTTTAAAAAATAAAAATGGGATATTTGAAATTATATATTACCTGTATCTGTTAGGGTATACTAATGATGCAAAACCTATATGAAACTTTGTACTTTCTCTTACCAGCAGATGGTTACAGCAGTTCGGACTCCTATACTTCAGATCCAGAGCAAATTGGAAGCACTGTAACACGGCAACGGTCAGTAGAGTAGCAACTGAAAAAAATAAATAAAAGGTGTTTAAAGAAGCCTGTTCTGAGCTTCTGGTTGTTTGACAACTAGCTTCTAAAATGATGGCTAAAGAGATTCTTAGCTTTAACACTCGGGAATCTGGAGGCAGTCTGTTTTCTAATGCATTAACAATGTATGCTGTTCCTGTTAATGTGTAAAGTGAAAATTCAAAAAACAACATAGTCTAAAAAGTTGTTTGGGATTGGCCAATCAAATGAAACTCCACGTTCAGTCAGAAATCTTGATAAAGACTTTCTCCTTAAACACAAGGGAATGTATGCGCAGGAGATCGTGATGCTACTTGAAACCAGTTTTTTGTATTTTTAGAAATATCCATTAGGCATTAATGGAGAAGGACCTTGTGACTTTGTAGCATAAAAGAAGAACAAAACATAAATTAGAAATATCACGGCAGTAACTCAATCTCTTTTAATAATGGGCTTTATAAAATGAAGGGCAGTCATAGGCCCAACATAAATTAAGGGACTGGAGGAAGCTATGCAAGCACATAACCAACAACTGCATCGTTTGACATAAGAGAATGTGCTGTACTAGCTGGTGCTAATTGTTCCCATTAAATCTGCCTGAATAGGATTAAAAACCAGCTACGCCATTAACCATCTTACAATCAGTTTCAGAGGTAAGTTTCAAAACAAAAATAATTAGGGTGACTTCAATAGCAAAGAAAGATTTGCAATTGCCTTTCAGTATGGCAGCTTGAAAACTTCTTTCCTCCATTGTTACTTAATGGCAAATCTGATTGTCTGTCCTGCTTCTATGTATGTTTTTGCACTATCAACATGGTGGTTTCAACATGTTCTTTTCATCTCTGATTGGGTTCGGTTCTCTTGCTGAACTTTTGTAGATGAGTGAAGCTTTCTGATGAGTTGCCGCTTTATGGCACAGGTAGCTTCTGTCGAGATCTGGCAATTCTGGCAGCATCCACCCAGGAAATTTTTCTCCCACTTCCTTTTTTACTTCCTTCCACTGACATATTTTCTACCAATTGCAACTTTGTCTACAGAGATGACATTGTCCTTAGCCCTACCGTTAGTCCAGAGTACTTTTTGTATTTTCAAAAAGCAAAAACTGACAAGGCTATGTCAGATAATGATACTTCAGGAGTGTCCTTAAACCACTTTCTCCCTTTTTTATCCTACTTGTGCCTTTTATACTAGATTAGCTAGAGGGATGACCCTAGGAGTCAGTGTAATTAGATTTGTATTTCATCAGCTGGAGGGTTACGCAGTGTTACAGAAGTGTTGTCCTCGAGAGTATATTAAGGAAGCAGATTTTTCTATTGTGATACCTCAGTTTTCTGTCTGGACTTATACTTTCAGGAATTTCAGGTTTTGTGTGAAACTTAGGTGCCTCTTACCTCTCCTAGTTTATATCTTATGGTAGTTACAGAAGAATGTTACAGAAGTCAGTCATAGAAAAGATTTTATCACTTATTTGTGAGTTGAATAACAGAGTAGCCGTATTCATGTAAGTGATTCAGTAAATGTCTTGCTCAGATTGGACTAGATAGGAAGTTTCTGCAAGCTGTTTTTAGATGGAAGCTGTACAAAAATTCTGTATACATTAAATCCCACTTAAATGGCACTTAGTGCAGTACTTCATCCTTCTGTCCTTTCTGCATGTGTGCTCGATGAACTTACAACAGGTATCCACTAGATGGTGATCCTATCTAAGAATGAGTTAAAATTTCTGAAGATGCTACCGAGTATATGGATTTGGAAAATTTCAGGCAGAGAATTAAATATATGTATCTCAGTGTACAAGATAGCTCCGTAAGCTCGGTATACCTGGAGGCAGGTCCAACAGAAACTTAATACTCTTCTTCAGTGACATTGAACGTAACCCGTTTAAAACCTGATCAAGATGTTGACTACATCTTACATACTTTGCAAATTCTAGTGACTACCATCTGGATGGAATTACCATATTTAGGATTCTGTGTTTCTGAACTCTCATTGTTTGGGAGGTGTATCAAGCTGTTGGTTTCCCAAAGATAAATTACTTGTGGTAATACAAGAATAATTTGGATAACGGAGATTTAAGTAAATAGAAGTATAAAAAACAATTGTGAAATCAAAGAATACCAGAAGCTTAAAAGTGATTTTGCAATCTTCAAAATCAATGGCAATCAGGCTCTTTTCCATCTGTCAAACTTTATTTTTTTAATTGCCTACTTTGAAGAACTTTTGAATTTTAGTTCTGTTGTAGCTACCTAAAATCACTACAGAAGTTTATATGTTTTGCAGATCACATTCAGGAACATCTCCAGATAACACTGCACCGCCGCCACCCCCTCCAAGGCCTCATCCTTCTCATTCTCGATCATCATCTTTAGATATGAACAGATCCTTTTCAGTTACCCCAGGTAGATATACTGTGTTCCTAGTGTATATTATTCTTCAGCACATATATTCCTGAAGCAGACAATTTTTTTTCCTCTGAAGAAGGATTTAGAGGGTGTTTTTTAATAACTGCTTCTGAATGAAGAAGCAGAAAATGTTGTCACTCTTCCTGTTTATGTTAAAATTTGTACTCCACTTTGCTTAAACAGGTAATTGAGAAGTAAATTCTGAATGCTGGCATTGCAGTCCTTTAGATGAATGTGGGAAGCAAGGTCAGGAAATAACATTTTGGTAGTGCACCCACATGCAATGAATTGCATCTGCCAGTAAATTTTCAAGAGGAGTTCTTTTGGTGTCAGATGTATTAGAGACACGTGTTAAGTATTCAACTTTAGAGAAATGATTAAAGGTCACTTCTGATGCTTTGGTTAAGGGTTTTTATTGTACTTCTGACTTGTCAGTACTTTTCAATTCAGGATCACAAAGTATGAGAAGATGTTAAGAGTGTATAATGAGAAAAAAAGGACTAAGATCAGAAAAGTATGACCACGTCTGTACTTTGGACTGGAACAAAGGACAATATCCATGTTCTGATTCCTTGTTTTGTCTGTTTGCAAATTTGAAAGGAGATGACATTACAATTATGGTCCTCAACATGACAGGTTAATATGTAGGCAAAATGCAGGATTTCTTCATGTTGCTAAGTCAAAAAATTACATAGCACTGTGATGCGAAGAGTAACAATCCTGGCCAAACGCGATGCCTCTTTTACAGGACAGCAACAGGCTGGAGTTGTTGCCTATCCCCCTGCAGTGCCTCCAAGACCACAGCCTTCACAGGTGATGTTGTCACTTTTGAAGAATCATACTCTAACTTGGTGCATCATTTTTATCTAACTCTGAATTTTAACTTATCTCTAAAATGAGTAGTATTTTTTGAAACCACCAGGATATGAATGATGGCAAAACATAGACTGTAGCCAAATATTAGCCTTTCCTGAATAAAGATTTGCTTCTGGTGGAACCATGGGAAGGGATTAAAGTAGAGATTGAGGAGCAATGAGTGGCTCCAGAGCTCTGAGTTGTAGGAAAGAGGAAAGTTACTCTTTCACATTTCTTTACCTGTCCCCGTATAGCTAATAGGCCATAACACAGACTGTAAGAGCAATCTTTCAAAGTTTTACAAAATAAGTGTTTGTCTTCCATCTGTGTCTGGCACAGGGTATAGTTTTACATAACATGCCTGCTCCCAAAAGGAGTGATCCCACTTCTTCCTTTGTCATAGACTTGGTGATCTTTGCAGTCCTGGTTTGAGTCAGTTCAGTTAGCTGATTTGGTAGAAAAGAAATCCTGGAAGAGTTGTTTTTTCTTTGTCTCAACCAGCTGAATCTTTCAACTGCTGTGCAGATCTGACATGGGACAGATAAAATTGCTTTTCAGTTGTTTTTCAGCAGCAGCTACTTATTAGAATCTGAGTTACCAGCAATTGAAGGCAGTCAATGGATCCAGAAATCATCTGCAAGGAAAGAGGGTACAATGACAGACACATTCCATACAGCGTGATCACATAAGCATGTTTCCCTATGGAACCAGACTAAAAATCTGTATCAAGCCTGACGGAGCCAAGCTGGACTGTGTTACAGCAGAAGCATCTACTGTCCAATGAGTCTAGATAGTCCTGCGGTGCATCCATCTTTGGTCTCATTCTCTGAATAATAGCACATCTGATTGAACTTCCTTTTCTCTTAAATATTTCTCTATTTTTATAAACGCAGAGAGTGGTCTGTCTGGTTGTGTCTTAGATGAGATGCACTTTGTCCTACTGACAGGACATAAATCTTTGTCCACTAAAAAGGCAAATAGTCTTTAATGTTCTGTCACAAACTGTTGTTTGGTGAGATTCTTTGCATCAGATAACTATGTTAAGAACAATGTCACTAAATATTTTTGTTATTTTATTGCAGGGTGCAGGTCCTCATGTGCATCGCCCAGTAGATGCTGAAGGCCTAATAGCTCATACCAGTACCTCACCTCAACAAATACCAGAACAGCCAAATTTTGCAGACTTCAGCCAGTTTGAGGCATTTGCTGTTTCAGGTGTAAACAAAGAGGAAGAAGATGAAATTGAAACACACTCAGAAGTTTTGCAGGTGAGCGGAAGCGAAGATCTTGTCAATTGCTTAATACCACCAACAGTTATGAGACTTTGTTAAAACCTACTTCTGCTGTTTGAACTCAGTGGGGTTTTTGATGGTGTCCCAATCCTTTGCTAGAAAGCAATTACATTAGACTCTGCCACTCTTATTTAGTAGCTGCCAAACACCTAGGCAGAAGAAATTCTTTTCTTCTCAGTTCTTGATTGTAATTTAAAAGATTTTGTACTTAGTAGCATATGTGCACAAACATAATTGTGTTGGTGCATTTAAGATTTAGCACAGGCAGAACTCCTCTTCTGCTCACTCTTGCCAGCCTTCCAAATGACTGGTAAGTTTTAAAGTAGTCTGTCTTAATAAGTGAGATGACTGTCAAGTATCGTAAACATCTGTTAAAACTCCAGTAATTTGGTTTTGTTCAAAGCCATTGGACAGACAGCTAAAGTGAATAGAGCTCTGGCATCCTTCTATGATAGATTTAGAGATGTTTACAAAACCTTGTTTCCTACTACAAACACAGGACTTAAACCCTGAGGCTTCCAAACTTTTATTCCTATTAATGTCATAATAGCTTACTGCTATTACATGAATTACTTCACATTTTCCTTTCATAATTTGTAGCCTTCATCCAGATTGTAAGTTCTCTAGGGCACTTCTGTGTATTCAGTTGCAAAAGTACCGGTGGTGCTTTAAAGTTCTCCCAACTATCGGCAGCACGTTCTTGCTTCCCTTAATCAGGAAGGTCAGTGACATGGAGCCATTTGAGCACTCTCCATGTACCTCATTGCAAAATCAGCTATGTTAGCAGTTTTCAGTGGCAGCTTAAGCTTAAGTTGAGCTTGCTGATTGTTTTGCATTGAGGTGCATGGGGAACAGTTGCATTGTGTTCCATTGGAGGGATTAACCTTTGGCAGTAACAAATAGATAATGGTGGTAATGTAATAGCAGAAACAGCTGTAGCAGTTTATCATCAGGCCACAGCCTCTTTTGTACTATACAGTGCCTCGTAACACTGGGGATTTGACTTTATTCAGAGGTCTTCCAACATCTGGTGTACAATGCTTGAGAGCAGAGTACTTTCAAGTAACTATTTTGTCTTTTTTTCATAGTGATGTTAGATTCTGTATCAAATCTTAATTTCTGTATCAAAAGACAGGTCTGACTATTGATGCTAGAAGTACAGCTTTTTACTATGTGCCTCTTCTGTAAGCTGCTCCCAGGCCAAAACAGCGTTTGTGACCAAGATAGTTTTAGATGGTTTTGCTCCAAAGCAGGTATTGTTGTTGTATTCCAGCCTGTGCTTCTAAAGAAGACTTGAGCTGGAATTTTAGGTGTTAAGTGTATCCATGTATCAGAAACACAGCATACTTCTATTTATTCCAACTGTTGCCAAATGAAATACTTGTTAAGAGGTAGTTTTCTAAATATAGTTTATATCCCTTCAGGTTGAAAAGCCCTCTGATTCTGCAAGTTCTCTTAGAGTTGCCAAAGCAGATGGAAGAGTGGAAGACAAAGCACCTGCTAATGTCCCTACTAGTGCGGTATGCAAAGTACACTTGGAAGGAGAGTGCAGTTGTCTGATGTATATGAAATGATACAACTCTCTTGATTTGCAACAGCAACTTTATACACTTCCACTTGAACCCAGTTTTCTTAGGTCCAATATGTGCTTGAAATAGGCACGTGTATAGTGAATTTTTGCATCGGAAGATGTTCATGATTAGTTTTATTCTCGAGATAGCAGAAAATTAAGATACTTGTAAGTGTTCAGATTTTTGAAACCAAGCAAAACTTTTAGTGCAGAACTTGGTTAACAGTAGCTTTTTTTTGTTACAGACACATAATTACTGGGGGGAAAGCGTGCTCTGAGATGTTGTGTATTTGCAATTGTCAGTTGTACTGTGGTGTTTCTGCTTGCACAGTTCTTTGTCAGTGTGTAGCAACTTACTGCCATTTCACCGGGGGGTAGGATTTAGTACTTAAGTTTTTTTCCAGACCATATGAGAGTGCAGCTAGATGTTCATCAGAAAATACCTGATAGGTTGTAAATTCAGTTAGCTTAGTAGCTGGTTTTAAGAATATGTAACACAAACAAATTACCAGGTTATAATCCAAGTAAAATGCAGTTTGTGAGAATTCATAGACTGTGTTTTCCTCTTCAGGGTAAAGGCACTACCCCACTTGCTCCACCACCAAAGCCTATTCGCAGAAGATTAAAATCAGAAGATGAGCTAAAACCTGAAGCTGAGGAACATACACAGAAAACAGGTGTCATAGCTGCTGTTCTTGCTTCACAGCCATCTATTCCTAGGTAACCCAAGAAGTGTATAAATACATCTGTTACTGGAAAGTTTACATTTAAATAGCATACACGCTTTCTGTTCTAGGAGTTGCAAACAATTTCAATGTGTTTGAATTAGATTAATTTAACAGTTTAAAGGTTTTGGGGTTTTAAACAAGATCATCCTGAAGCCTCTACTACTGAGAGACCTTTTAGAGATCTTGAATTTTGGAGTGTGAACTCTTTTAACTTCTGCAAGTATGTTGGAAATAAGTGGTGGAAGTATTAAGATGTGGTGTTTGATTTTAAATAGTGGTCGCTATGAACAGTCTAAAATGTATAGTCTTTGTGTCCTAGCATGAAAGTAGACTATAACCTTAGTCGCTTTGAGGTAAATGAATGCGGTACGGTGTGTTGGAACTTCAGAAAATTGATTATTACAAGTTTTTAAAATGTGCTTCTTGCTGTTTCATTGAAACTAATCATATGTGGCTTCCATGCAAACAAACAAGGTTAATCAAGCCAGAGAGAAGAGGGAAAACTAGCAGTGTAACAAGTTAAAAAGTTTTGAAAAGAGGATTCTGCTCATTTAAAAAAGAGGGACTATAAATGAGATACTCAGCTAAGCAACTAAATGACTTATTACAATACTTCTAATATATTCTCAGATCAGTGGGGAAAGACAAGAAGGCAATTCAGGCATCGATCAGACGTAACAAGGAAACCAACACTGTTTTGGCCAGATTGAACAGTGAACTACAGCAGCAACTAAAGGTAATTCCATAATCTTTGTCTGTTTAAGAGAAGAGCCTGAGAGGGCAAGATGTTGGTGATGCACAGTAACAGGCATCTCTGCAAACCAATTATATACATAGTAGAGGATATTGATATAAATGTTTATGTGGTACTGTCTAGACTGGAAGATAGGCCATTTTAAAAACTATCAAGCCTGAATTTCACTTGTTACTGTTTGAGAGTCAAGGTGCATAAAATTCACATAAGACAAAAAACTGGGGGGAAAAAATTGTGAGTTTCTAATCCTTTAACTGAGATGAGAGCTTTCACCCCCTTAACATTTTAGACTTGATTGAAAATACTATAGTTGGGTTTGCAGCTGGTTACAACTTTGTGGGTTTGGGTGATTTGAAAGGAATGAAGAAATACTAAATGGCTTTGCTTTTGAGCAAAGTATTGATTTTCATTTATAATTACTAGCTAGCCAATCTTCTATTCAGATTATGGGAAGAGATCTCCAGATTGTACAAAAGACCTGGACGTTAGTTCTCAAAACTGAAGCTGACTTTTACCAGTTTTGATTGCATGAGGAAATTTTTAAGATTCATTCTCTGTGGACAGTCAGTAGAAAATCTTTCTTTTGTAGGATGTTCTTGAAGAGAGAATCTCCCTGGAAGTCCAACTGGAACAACTTCGACCCTTCTCTCACCTCTAAGCCTACTGCCGTTAACTGTGAATTTACTAATTTTGAAAGGGGTATTGGTTTCAAAGCCTATTTAAAGATCCATGCATCTAGCTCAGTGCACTGTATTCTACATTAAATGTTGTGGTTCTGTTTTGTCAATTTGTCCACTTTTCTATTTAAGTATTTTAGTTTCAGTACAGAGAAAAAAAAAACCTTTTTCCTTGAATGTGACACTGCCTCTCACATCACTTTCTGTGGGCATCCGTGATCTTTGTTGGACTTGATTTTCCAGAGTTTGTCGCCAAAATTTCCAACTGGAATTTTTTAGTGGTTTCTTTTTTCCAATTGAAACATCTTTGCAGAAGAGGATTGCTAATCAGTTGACTTTAAACTTTAAGCACATAAACTCTTCTTTCGCTATGGCATTTATTTTATTGTGCCAGAAAAGAGAAAAACTAGTAATCTGTCATCAGCTAGCGTGACTTCCCAAGCTGCCTTTCACAATTGGAAAGTTGTTCACAATTCTAGAAAGCCTGCCTCTTTGCAATAAACCAACTTATTCAGGTTGACAGAGTTCTTGCAGGCTGTTTGCCGTATCGACTGGATTTCATTTTGTGTTTTTGTTGCATACATTATAGAGTACGTAACCACAGATTGCCAGTTGTTCACATTTTATCCATTCATGATCCTGATTCAGCCGCATGCATATAAAGATTTATGGTACAATTGGTAGTCTATCAAACAGACCTTTTTCAGTCCTCCCTTTTGTGAAAAGAGTTGGGTGTAAATCCCCAACGTATTAATTACACGTTACCTAAGCACCACCTGTAATTGCATGTTTCACACATTACCTTTTAATAACACATCACATCCACCAGTCTTCACTATAACAAATTGTATTGTCAAGTAATGTGTCAATACCTCTATGAACTTCTAATTCCCAGAAAAAAAAACCACAAAAAAAACCAAACAAAAAATGAACAGTTTGCTTCTTAGGAATTCTGGGGTACCTTATGTCATCTTGTTTCCAGGCCTTATTTCTCCGGCATATAGACAGGCTTCACTATTAACAGAGTTCCCTGAGTGTATCCTGCTATTCAGGTTGATGTACTGTATTAGGATTTGTTGTATATTGTATGATACACACCTTTTGATCTCATATGTAAATTTGCATTAATTGCTGACTAACAGCAGATACTCTATTTAATGGCTTCTTCTGGCTGTGGGATCATAGATGTTTAACTGCATGGATGTATCTCTGCAGAATCAGAACTAGCAATTGTGTGATTTTTACACCAATAAAACAGCACAATATTTTAATTTCGTTGATTCATCTTTACCTGGGAATTGAAACTCATTCATATAGTGGGGAGGGGTTTATTACAGGTCTGCAGGGAATTTTTTGTAGGTTTTGTGGCATGTACGAGAAATAGTTGATCATATTCCCTTGACCATTTTCTTCCCTCATTATTTAGCTGTTGGTCAGAAGTGATCAAATTCTCTTGGTAATCTGTGGCTATACTCCTTTTGTATCCTCCTATAAGCAAATTTAATATAGTTGTAACCTCTAAAAAGTAAATGCTAGTACTGACTTGGGTCAAAGAAATATATAGTTCTTTAGTCTTCATTTCTGGTTTGATTTCCTTGAGAGTACCTTTCAAAATTAAAACTAAATGGATTGACTGTTAGCAGTCCTTATCCTCGCTGTCTCACTTCTATGCTTAAATGAAATTCTCTTAGCATCTGCTTCCCTTACAAAAGGATAGCTCAAGTCAGATTTTTCCACTGGATATGCTGTTTGTTAAGGTGAAAAAGAAGTGTTTCTCTTTTTGGTTATCATATACAGATTGAATAATTATGGTTAATTTTTATTACTATAACAATTCCAACATTTTTTCAAATGTCATGGAAGTGTTGCGGATGGCTTATGTCTATAATTCAAAGCAAGATTCCCTGGTATGAAAGGCACGAATGTCATAGTTGCATGACAAGAAGATACTTTCTATTTGCATGTTAACGGAATAAGAAATGATAGTGAAATGGGCAGAAAGGTTACATATAAATTACATTTCAGCTATGTCTTGCCAATTAGTAGATAAAGTGCAAGACTTTGACTTTAAAAAATACGATATAACCAGGGAAATGCCAAAAAAAAAAAAACAACCCAAAACCAAACCAAAACCCAAATCAAAACTAAAAAACTTTAAAGTTGATGGACTAGTCACTTCTATTTTAACTGCCAAGTAGCAAGAACAGTGTTTTAAAAACTGGGAAAAGTGGGTCACTTACTGTAGTCAAAGAATGTTGATTTCAAACCAACTGTATGTTGTCCATAGATTAAAGCTAAAAATACATTTTTAAAATAGAACTATTTTCATATTAATATTTAAGTATTAAGCCTATGTTTATAGCAGCAGGATTCTTAAATCAGAATTTAACATTTTAAGCTTAAATGTAAAAAGCCTTTCACATTCAAACGTGACATGTACATATGAATTTCTGTGACATCCATATCTTTCTAGTAGAATGGCAAGTTAGTGTCTCAAGTGAAGAACTTAGGCAATCTGAACATTTTTGTCTTGCCAACAAGACTATTTTTAAGAATTTGTGAATTACTTCTAATGCATCATTCAGTACGTTTTAAACCAGTTTTTCGTGATCAGAAGAGCTTCTAACTGAAAAATTACTTATGTCTTAAGAACATCACTGCCAATGGTGTTCAGAAGTTACCTCACTTAGTAATGTAACCCAGCTTTAATCTCTTATTTCCCTGTCTTCTCCATTTGTTTGATCTTGATCCAGCTACTTGATGCATTCTTTTTTATGAACTTAGATTGTAAGCTCTTTGGGGCAAGGAATTATGTACCGTACAAGAGATGTGCTCTCTATATTGCAAGCATAAATGTAGACTACAAATAGTATGGAGTGTGATTCATGTACCCAGCTAGGATGGATGGACAGCAGCATGCATTTCTGAAACACCTGCAAAATGTGTTTTGTTGGACTTTGTGATGGGAGGAGTGTCTCTTTCCTCGTTTGATTTGCATTTCCTTTATTTCTCCTACTAATGTGCCTCTCTCTTCATTCCACCTGCTTTGGAGTTGTTTTTTTCTCCATTCCTTGCCTATCTTTGGACTGCAGAGAAGATTTCCAAACTGCAAAGGTAAAAAGCTGAAAAGCCACTTTTTTGAGCAGTATTTAAAGTCTACCCAATGTAAGCTAGTATTTTCAATTTTTTTTTTGTACTTCACATGCCCTTCATTTTACTTGCAATTGTATAGTACATGAACTAGAGGATCTCTTATTACTGAAAATGTCTTATGTGGGATAAACAAAGTTGAGGTTATAAAAACTTAAAACTAAAGAAAATAAATCTGCGGCATTGTTTCTTGTGTGAGATGTCTCTCCCTTATGGATGGGGTGTGCTGTGTTTCTGCTCTACCTTTAGGGCAAAGTTGAGTTACTCTCCTGGGTTCAGCTATGCACAGAGTTTGTCTCTAAATGCAACTTTCCTAAAAGGAAAAAAAAAGCAAAACTGCTGTCTCCTGACTCATTCTAGTCTTAGTTTCTAATAGAATGTGGTTTCGTGAAAAGGTAAAAAGTTACAAAAACATGTTACTCCCAAGTGAGTAATAACAATGCAATTTTTATTTTTTAATCTTCCACACAAAGTAACTTGTGTATTTTAAACATAGTTGCATGCTTAAGTTGCTTATATACTTTACAAAGTAGTCCATGTGCAGTTCATTCAGTTACACTCCCCAAAGTTCCATTTTTTGAGACATACAACTTAATTTCATAAGCAGAATGCCAGCATGTTTTGCCATGCACATTGATGTATTAATCATTTATAATACAGCTCTCTAGAAGAAAACACATGAAAACTAAGGATTTTATTCTCTAATAACAAAAACATTTTAAATGTTATGTTCTCTTAATAGTCTTAGAAAACAACTAACTAGTGGTTGTGTAGGAACAATGTTAAAAATGTCTATATACTAATAACCAAATGAGACTATACAGTGTTGTCCTGATAATTAGTACCCAAGCAAAATCTTCTTCACAGGAGTCTTTGAATTAATTGCTCTTCAAAATTCAGTTACGTGTTTGGGGGGAGGGTTTAATACTGTGTAATTTCCTTTCAGTGATATTTCTTTAAATTGGCAAAACGGGCTTTAAAGGTGCAATTCCTGCTTTAAAGCTAGATTGTACACTAATCGTACCTAAACTGTACGCTGCTGATTGTACATTAATTGTACCTAGCTGTACACTAACAGTGTACTCCAAAGTGATTTTACAGTACTTTTTTCCAGCTTACTGATATATAGGTATTCAATGTCTTGCATTTAAGTTATTGTCAGAAACAGCCCTTGTTCAGAATTGTAACTCTATGAAACACTAAGTTTGTGATCTCACAGCTTATATCCAAAGTTTTAAGAAGACTGTGAGTACTATTTGTCACACTTTGACAGCATAGTGTAGCACAGAAAGCTACATGAATTCTCTTCCATCTCTGGTAGAATATGTTCTTCACACTTTCACTCTTACAGATACTAAGAATGCATCTAATCTGGAAGCAGTTGAAATTACTCTGTTTTGACTGGTCTTGATTATGAGCGACCTAGGAAATGAACAAAACATCATAAATAGTGAAAGCAATTTAAACTGGCATTCAGTGGTGTATTGATAAAAAACCAAATTCTAGCAATACCGCTGTTGAACCTTAAATGACTGGAGTATTTGTTTCCCAGTCTACTGAGGAGCTCACAGAGAGAGAGACATCCTACTCTACAATGTGTGTAAACTCTTTGATACATCCCATATAGCAGCAATGGTGGCTTTTGCTTTCTGTCATCTACCTGGAAGTCCAACTGCCTTTTCTCTTCGGCTCAAATAAGACTGCATTTAAACTGACAGAAGAGGGTCTGGTCCATGGGGTAGAACAAGTTAAATGTAAGAAACAGCACTTTGAATCAGGAATGTCTTCTGCAAGGAGCCTGTTGTCTTTGGTATCCATTCAAAAGGCAAATAAGAAAGACTAACATTTGAAGGAACATACTGAGAAAGGAGGCACTAAAATCAATGAATTGCCCTGACATGCGGTTGGGGGAGCGGGGAGTGGAATAAGCGTTACAGCAGTTCCTGTAAACACTTGTGTATGTGAACACTTGTTAGGAGCTTCTGAAGGTCTAGCATATGTGATTGGCTGTGTCAGACTTAGCAAAAAGGTATGTGTAGTAGGTAGCTTCAGCAATATATGATTTCTCGGCAGACATCGAAGGAAATACTTTTGGGAACCCCTGTGGTATCTTGGGAGTGTGTTTCGTTAAACTGCCTTGGAATTCGGCACTCTGTACTAACTGCTGTTGTGCCTTATTTTGCAGATCATCTTGAACTGATACAAAGCTTGAGTTCAGTCTAAGTATGAAAATACAGTATGTGTTTCAAGAAAAAGATTTTGAAAAGTTTATAGAAAGTTGTAATTCAAGGTATGCTATCAGAAAATGCGGAAGTGATGTGCCTCCAGCTTTAACTTGTCTCTTCTGTTTTGTATCCCTGCCTTTGAAAGAAGAGCGCTGCAATTAACGACAAACCCTTCTCCTAGAGCTTCAACCCCATTGTCTTTCACTGCCCTCGTGAAGGAACTTGGTCACCTGCTTTCTGATCAGAAGGAACCAAGAGGTCATAGAAGAATCAAGAGGTCCTTTTGCTGTAGAAGGGTACTTAAAATGAATGTATTCCTTGGTTTGCTCTGCACTTTGTCTTTGGGGATAAGGTAGTGTTGAATTAAGAAAATTCCCATGGAAAAGCAGTATTAATTCACATGTCATTTTATCAAAATTAAGAGGTTGATCATTTTGATGGATTTTAATGGCTTCTGCCAAGTTGCTTACATAGGTGGACTCACTAACCAAGAAACATACTAAAATTCATAATTTCTCAG